AGACACCATGGGGAAAATCACTGAGGAGAAAGGATATCTGCCTGAACAGGTTTTTAATGAAGATGAAAGTGCCCTATTCTGGGGGAAAGAAAATGCCACAAAGGATATTTATTAGTAAGGAAGAGAAGTAAGAACCAGAATTTAAGGCAGGAAAGGGTAGGCTAACTCTCTCGTTTTGTGCAAATGCAATTGGGTTAATAATCAGGACTACCTTTACCTATAAAGCTACAGTCTTTTGGTTGTACAGCAAGAAGGCATGCACAATGAGATCCTTTTTTTCTGGATTCGTTTCATCAGTGCTTTGTCTCTGAAGTCAGGAAGTACCTTGCCAGTAAGGGACTGCCTTTAAAGCTCTTTTGATATTGGTCAATGCCCCTGGCCACCCAGAACCCCATGAGTTCAACACTGAAGGTGTCAAAGTGGTCTGCTTGCCCCTAGACACAATGTCTCTAATTCAGCCTCTAGATCAGATGGGTCATAAGGACCTTTCACACTCATTGCACTTGGTACTCTATGCAACGGATTTTAAGTGCTGTGGAAGAAGACACCGATAGAACATCATGAATGTCTGGAAGGATTTCTCCATTGAAGATACCATAGTTGCCCGGGTGGAGTGGCTAACGCCTATAATCCCAGCACTTTGAGAGGCCAAGGTGGGTGGATCACCTGAGGTCAGGAGTGTGAGGCCAGCCTGGCCAATGTGGCGAAACCCCGTCTCTACTAAAAATACAAAAGGCCGGGCGCGGTGGCTCAAGCCTGTAATCCCAGCACTTTGGGAGGCCGAGACGGGCGGATCACGAGGTCAGGAGATTGAGACCATCCTGGCTGACACGGTGAAACCCCGTCTCTACTAAAAAATAAAACTAGCCGGGCGAGGTGGCGGGCGCCTGTAGTCCCAGCTACTGGGGAGGCTGAGGCAGGAGAATGGCGTGAACCCGGGAGGCGGAGCTTACAGTGAGCTGAGATCCGGCCACTGCACTCCAGCCTGGGCGGCAGAGCGAGACTCCGTCTCAAAAAAAAAAATAAAATAAAATAAAAATAAAAAAATAAAAATAAAAATACAAAAATTAGCCAGGCCTGGTGGCGCATGCCTATAATCCCAGCTACTTGGGAGGCTGAGGCAGGAGAATCACTCGAACTTGGGAGGTGGAGGTTACAGTGAGCCAAAATCGCTTCACTGCATTCCAGTCTGGGCGACAGAGTGAGACTCCATCTCAAAAAAAAAGATGCCGTAGTTGTTATAGAAGAAATTGTGGGCCAGGTGCAGTGGCTCATGCCTGTAATCCCAGCACTTTGGGAGGCCGAGGTGGGCAGATCACTTGAACCTGGAAGTTAGAGACCAGCCTGGGCAATGTGGTGAAACCACATTTCCACAAAAGATACAAAAATAAGCTGGGCATGGTCATGCATACCTCTAGTCCCAGGTACTCGGGAGGGTCAAAACTGCAGTGAGCGGGTGATCATGCCACTGCACTCCAGCCTGGGCAACAGAGTGTGACCCTGTCTCAGAAGAAAAAGTTGTGAAAACCATCAAGCCGAAAACAATAAATTCCTGCTGAAGAAAACTGTGTCCAGAAATTATGTGTGACTTCATAGGATCTGTGACAGAGCCAATCAAGGAAATCATGAAAGAGATATGGCAAAAATAGAAGGTAAGGGGTGAAAGATTTCAAGAGAGGGATTTTAGAGAAATTCAAGAACAGCACATCAGAGGAATTAACTGAAGATGACTTGATAGAGATGAATTCTTCTGAGCCAGTGCCAGATGACAAGGAAGAAGACATAGAAGAAACAGTGCCAGAAAACATTGATGTCAGGCAATCTGGCAGAAGGGTTCAGGTTATTTGAGACTGCTTTTGAGTTATTTTAGACTTGGACCCTTCGATGATATGAGCACTAAAACCAAAGCAAATGGTGGAAGAAGAATTGGTACCATATGGAAACATTTTTAGAGAAATGAAAAACCAAGCCTGAGTGTGGAGGCTTATGCCTGTAATCCCAGCAGTTGGGAGGCCAAGGCAGGAGGATCACTTGAGGCCAGGAGTTCAAGACCAGCCTGGGCTGATAGCTTCAGCTATGCAGGAGGCTAGGCCAGGAGGATCACTTAAACCCAGTAGTTCGAGGATGCAGCGAGCTGTGATCACACCACTGCACTCCAGCCTGGGTGATAGAGTGAGACCCTGTTTCTAAAAAATAGAAAAAGCAAAAAAAGTTAGACAAATTATAACATTTCTGTAAATTTATACTATGTGTGCCTTCCTCTCCTGCCTCCCCTTCCACCTTCTCTACCTCTGCCAACCCTGAGACACACTCCTCTTCCTCTTCCTCCTCAGTCTATTTGGTTTGAAGACAATGAGGATGAAGACCTTTATGATGATCCACTTTATGATCACTTTATGATGATCCACTTCCATTTAATCAGTAGTAAATATATTTTCTTATTTTCTTAATAGTATTCCTTTTTCTAGCTTAATTGTAAGAATACGGTATATAATACATGTCACATACAAAACATATGTTAATCAACTGTTTATATTATTGGTAAGGTTTTCAGTCAACAGTAGGTTGTTAGTAAAGTTTTTGGGGAGTCAAAAGTTATATGTGGATTTTTTATTTTGGTGGGGTTGAGGAGGATGTTGGGCCATTGGGATTGGGTTCATGCCCCCCCGACATTATTCAAGGGTCAGTGTACGTACATAAGTCAGTCAGTCCTCACTTAAAGGTCATTAATAGGTTCTTAGAAACTGACTTTAAGCAAAATGACGCATAACAAAACCAATTTTTTTTTTTTAAGATGAAGTTTCGCTCTTATTACCCAGGCTGGAGTGCAATGGTGTAGTCTTGGCTTACTGAAACCTCTGCCTCCTGGGTTCAAACAATTCTCCTGCCTCAGCCTCCCGAGTAGCTGGGATTACAGGCATGCACCACGAAGCTCGGCTAATTTTGTATTTTTAGTAGAAATGGGGTTTCTCCATGTTGGTCAGGCTGAAATAAAGACCAAACTTCTACATAAAGACCAAAACACAGCTGGACACAGTGGCTCACGCCTGTAATCCCAGCACTTTGGGAGGCTGAGGTAGGCGGATCACAAGGTCAAGAGATCAAGACCATTCTGGCTAACATGGTGAAACCCCGTCTCTACTAAAAATACAAAAAATTGGCCAGGCGTGGTGGCGGGCGCCTGTAGTCCCAGCTACTCAGGAGGCTGAGGCAGGAGAATTGGCGTGAACCCGGGAGGCGGAGCTTGCAGTGAGCTGAGATCTCGCCACTGTACTCCAGCCTGGGTGACAGGGCTAGACTCCATCTCAAAAAAAAAAAAAGACCAAAACACTTCTAATATTAAACAGTGAAATATATGTAAACTATACACACATGTAAGAAAGATTAATGAAAACAAATTAGATAATCATTTACCCAAGTATTCCAGCTCAGGATCACAAGTGGCCGGAGCCTATCATGGCAGTTCAGGATGCAAGGCAGAACAACTCTGGACAGGACACCATTCCATCGGGGGGTGTATACCCACACACCCACACTCACTCAGACTGGCACAGCTTAGCATGCCATTTCACCTTACACACACATCTCTGAGATATGGAAGGAAACCAGCATACCCAGAGAAAACCCATGCAGATGTGCCAACTCCACACAGACAGTGGTCCTGGCCAGAAATCAATTTTTTTTTCCTATCAACATTATAAGGGAACAAGCATGGTGCCTCACACCTGTAATCCCAGCACTTTGGGAGACCGAGGCAGGTGGATCACTTGAGGTCAGGAGTTCGAGACTAGCCTGACCAATGTGACGAAACCCCGTCTCTACTAAAAATACAAAAATTAGCCAGGCGTGGTGGCAGGTGCCTGTAATCCCAGCTACTCAGGAGTCTGAGGCAGGAGAATCACTTGAACCCAGGAAGTGGAGGTTGCAGTGAGCCAAGATCACTCCAGTGCACTCCAGCCTGGGTGACAGAGCAAGATCCCGTCTAAAAAAAAAAAAAAGTTATAAGGAAACAACACTGAACAAAATGTTATTCAAAGACCTGCTTATATGTGTACACACACACACAGTCATACACTGTTTAGCAACATTTTGGTCAATGATAGACTACATATATGACGGTGGTTCCATAAGATTATATTACTGTATTTTTACTGTACTTTTTCTATGTTTAAATATGTTTAGATACATATTTAAACATAAATATGTTTAAGTATTCATATACTTACCATTGTGTTAGAGTTGCCTCCAGTATTCAGCACAGTAACATGCTATTCAGGTCTGTAGCCTAGGAGCAGTAGGCTCTACCACATAGCCTAGGTGTGTAGTAGGCTATACCATCTAGGTTTGGATAAGTACACTCTGATGTTTGCCTAATGATGCATTTCTCTGAACATATTCCTCTCATTAAGTAATGCATGACTGTACCTATACTTAATATACATAAGTACATATATAGAGAGAGAGGAAGTCTGTGATTTAAAGATTAATGTTCATACTTGATGAAAAATTTCATATCTTCTTTTCTGATTTGAAATTATTAAAGGTTGAGTATCCCTAAACTGAAGTCCAAAATGCTTAAAAATCTGAAACTTTTTGCACACTGACATGATGCTCAAAGGAAATGCTCACTGGAGCACTTTGGATTTCAGAGTTTTGGATTAGGGATGTTCAATGGGTAAGTATAATGCAAATATTCCAAAATCTGAAAAAAATCCAAAATCTGAAACACTTCTGGTCTCAAGCATTTCGGATAAGGAGTACTTAACTTGTATTTACTTAACAAAAACTTTGTAAGATCTAATTTATGTCTTACAAAAGGCAACATCTTTTTACAGTTAACTGTGAGCTAAGCAGGAACAGGTAGCTTCAGAGACTTTTGAGCCAGCTTGCCCCCAAACTGCCCTCCCAAAAGTGAGAATCATTGTTAAAATATTCAAACCAGCCTCTCCTATCTTCTAAAGTAAGTTTTAAAACTTTTACTTCTTAATTTTCCATGGCAGGAACCTTCAGCCTGTGGTGTCATCCTAAGTTTGAGGACCGCTGTCAATCTGTTGTAGAGTTTATTAAGAGAGCCATTATGCACTCCAAGAATGGAAAGTTTCTCTATTTCTTAAGATCCAGGGTTCCAGGTAAGGCTGTATTTCTGTTAATTATTTAACTTAACTTCGGTATGATCCAGTTTAGTGTCAAAAAACACCACCCCCACAAAAGGCCATGGTTAAGCTTCTTTCCCCTGGCTGTTGTAGCCACCACTCCTGGTCCTGTGGTTAATCCCCTGCCTTTGTACGTTAATCTCTCAGCATACTGAGGAAGAATCTTTGCTTCTCTGACCACGTGAATGAGAAAACTGCTTCCACCTCTGATGTCCAGGCATCATGTGAACATTTGACATTTGGAGGTGTCCCTGATCTAGGCATGTCAACATTTATAAGTGAAGGAGACAGGTGAGAGCTCTCAGGTCCTACCCATAGGAATGGGAAAGGTAAGAGAATGTTTACCAGAAAGGCAGGGCGAGTGTCAGGAGGGCTCAGTCTGGCTAGGCATGGTGGCTCATGCCTGTAATCCCAGCACTTTGAGATGCCAACGTGGGAGGATTGCTTGAGCCCAGGAATTTAGACCCCCATCTCTTTAAAAAATTAGCCAGACATAGTGGTACATGCCTGTAGTTCCAGCTAGTTAGGAGGCTGAGATGGGAGGATCGCTTGAGCCCAGGAGGTCAAGGCTGCACTGAGCCGTGATCGTGCCACTGCACTCTAGTCTGGGTGATAGAACAAAACCCTGTCTCCCCCAAAAAAAGAAAAAACAAGGGCCAAATCCAATTGCACATTGCGCTCTGTTAGGAAGTATCTGCTGTGGGTTTGCCCATGTTGTACTAAACTTGCTGCTGAACAGTAAATTCTTTGTTTTGTATCTTGCCGTCCCTACCATTGATGAATACAAGACCTCTCTCCATTTGGGAGCACTGGGCAGTTGCTATTCTTGCTGGTGTGATTGTATAGTCTTCCTGCCCACTAAGTTAGGGAGGTGTCTGTATAGTTTGTGGAGGGCAAGAGGGGATTCTTTGGAGCAATCTGCCTTTATAGTGTTGGTAAGACAAAATGACAAGGACATTAATATGAGGAACTTGTAAGACACAAACAACTTAAGCCAGGCATGGTGGCTCACACTGTAATAATCCCAGTACTTTGGGAGGCTGAGACGGGCAGATTGCTCAAGTCCAGGAGTTCAAGACCAGGCTGGGCAACATGGTGAAACCATATCTCTACAAAATACACAAAAGTTAGCTGGGTGTGATGCCGGGCATCTGTAGTCCCAGCTACTTGGGAGGCTGAGGTGGGAGGATCACTTGAGCCTGGGAGGCAGAGGCTCCAATGAGCCAAGATTAAGCCACTGCACTCCAGCCTGGGTGACACAGTGAGACCCTGTCTCAAAAAGAAAAGGCATGGGGTGGTAGCTCACACCTGTAATCCCAGCACTTTGGGAGGCTGAGGAGGGCAGATCACCTGAGGTCAGGAGTTCGAGACAGCCTGGCCAACATGGTGAAACCCCGTTTCTACTAAAAATACAAAAATTAGCCAGGCGTGGTGGCGGGTGCCTGTAATCCCAGCTACTCGGGAGGCTGAAGAGGGAGAATTGCTTGAACCTGGGAAAGCGGAGGTTGCAGTGAGCTGAGATTGCGCCATTGCACTCCAGTCTGGGTGACAGAGCCCAGACTCTTTCAAAAAAAAACAAAACAAAACAAAAAAATAAACAATTTAAAATGAGAACTTCATGCTTTACCATTGAATCAAATTAAGATTCTTAAACAGAATGCCAAGAAATTGGTCTAAACTGTAGGAGCTCAGGGGAGCCTCAGGCAGAAGACTAGGAACAGGATTGAGCCAGGTGACAGGAATGTTTCTTGTAATCTTGGTGATTTAAATCAGGCATGACAGGGTGTGAACTGTATTAATTCTCACTTCATTTAGTTTTGCCTCAGTGCTGTCAACACAGTTGGGTCTTGTGCAGTTGACTTGCTTAAAGGGAAAAGTTAGATTCCTTCCATATAAGAGTTGACTCTGCTTAGCAGTTTTTAAAGTTTTTGGCTTTTTGGGGGGTTTTTATTTAACAAACATTTGTTTTGCAATTTATTATAAAAAATAAGCTACATTTCTGCCTTCAGAGAAGTCATAGTCTCAAAGAGGGGACAGGAAGGAAGACAAAGGTGAGAGCACATGTTCAAGTCAGTATAAAGCATGTGGCGGTGACCAGCAAGATTAGGGTAGTCAGCTCTGCCTGTGGGCAAGTCTGGAAAATCTCAGAGAGTATTCTGGACTCTGGAGCATCACTGTACTGGTAGAATATTGAGAAACTTTGTGGAATATTGGACTCCTCAGATACAGCTTATTTCATTCTACAAATGTACCCTGTCTGCAGATATTTTAACCAAGATTCTTAGCATTGTATTAGGGGCTAGAGTGTATAGTGTTTGCCACTGTTAATATTGAGTGCCTGTTAGATGCCAGGTACTGGCCAGGTTCTTTATTTAAAGATATTGACATTTTTACAACAACCTCAAAGTTAGGTAATACAGATCAATCTATAAAAATAATATGGCCTGGCGCGGTGGCTCACGCCTGTAATCCCAGCACTTTGGGAGTCCGAGGTGGGTGGATCACCTCAGGTCAGGAGTTTGAGACCAGCCTGACCCACATGGTGAAACCTTGCCTCTACTAAAAATACAAAATTTGCCGGGTGTGGTGGCACACGCCTGTAATCCTAGCTACTCCAGCGGCTGAGGCAGGAGAATCGCTTAAAACCCAGGAGGCTGAGGTTGCAGTGAGCTGAGATTGTGCTACTACACTCTAGCCTGGGCCCCCAAGCAAGACTCTGTCTCAAAAATAATAATAATAATAATAATAATAATAATAATAATAATAATGTGTCCAACATGGTGAAACCTCACCTCTACTAAAAATACAAAAATTAGCCAGGCGTAGTGGTGGGTGCCTGTAGTCCCAGCTACTTAGCGGGCTGAAGCAGGAGAATCACTTGAACCTAGGAGGTGGAGGTTGCAGTGAGCCACGATTGTGCCATTGCATTTCAGCCTGGGCAACAGAGGGAGACTCTGTCTCCAAAAAAATAAAATAAAATAAATTTAAAAATAAAATAATACATAAGACTTCATTTTGCCAGTGAGGAAACTGAGGCTGAGGCTCAAAAGTTAGATTATGTACTCTAAAGTTAACTCAGTTGATCAGTGCTGAAGCCAGAATTCAAACCTGGGCCCGACTACAAATCCTTGGCTTTATTTCCCACCAGTCTGTTATTGGAAGAGGTAGTAGTAATCAGATTGAAAGTTTGCTGGCATTTATGGAAACTACCTGAAGAAGGTAGAACCATGTTTATTGGGGGCAGGAGGGTGCAAATGCTCCAGTTAAAGATCTGTATAGACTTAAAATTGTAATCAAGTTGAGAGGGCAAAGCAGAGTTGTTGCCTCTCAACCCTAAGTGACCTCACTTTGAAGGATAGGGCCAAAGAAGACAAAGCCTTTACCACTGTTTGCTGCCCTCTTTTGCTTATCATAAAGGGGAAGGCATTATATAAGCTTGACTTTATTACAGGAGAGGATTGGGGTGAGGAAGGAGGTAGGTATTAGCATTTAGGTTGAGCTCTGTTAGCCTGCGTCAAGGATTTTAACTTGATCGATTCAGAAAGGATCCTGTGTGTTCAAACTTTGGAATGATGAAAACTGAACACCTACAAGGAGCCAGGTGTTATTCCATTTAACCAAGTGTTATCCTTTGAGGGGATAGTACAGTCTCCTTTTTTTTTTTTTTCTTTTTGGAAAAGCAAAAGAAACTGAGGTCCAGTGAGTTGCAGAGCTAGGATTCGATCTCAGGTTTTTCTGGCTCAGTTCCCAGAGCTGGATGCAGTAGGAAGGTGTTGAGACTGGTGTCAGGCTGGGCATGGTGCCTCATGCCTGTAATCCCAGCACTTTGGGAGGCCAAGGTGGGCAGATCGCCTGAGCTCAGGAGTTCAAGACCACCCTGGGCAATATGGTGAAATCCCATCTCTACTAAAATACAAAAAATTAGCTGGGCATGGTGGCACACACCTGTAGTCCTAGCTACTTGGGAGGCTGAGACATGAGAATTGCTTGAGCCCCAGAATTGGAGGTTGCAGTGAGCCAAGATCATGCCACTGTACTCCAGCTTGGGCTATGGAGTGAGACTCCATTTCAAAAAAAAAAAAAGACTGGTGTCAAAGGGATACCAGGGATCACAGGAGTTGCAAAGCTAGGACTAATGGGAAGGTTCTGAGTGGTGACAAATAAGGAACAGAGATAAATTAAGTAGAATAGAATAAATTGAATAATTAGCATTTGGGGGAGGAACCCTTGGTAAAATAATGGTGCCTGAGTTTGGTTTGACCTTATCCTTTCTCATTTTTTTTTTTTTTTAATGTAAATATATATATAATTTTTTTTAAATTTGAAGTTTGGGGTTATTGTAATACTGAATCCTGGTCCCAGCAGATCTGAGGTCACTGATTACATCTCAGTCTGGCCTCATCCATTTCACAATTATAAACTAAACCCCTGCTGGGCGCAGTGGCTCACACCTGTAGTCCCAGCACTTTGGGAGGCCGAGGTGGCTGGATCACGAGGTCAGGAGTTTGAGACCAGCCTGGCCAATGTGGTGAAACCCCGTGTCTACTAAAAATACAAAAGTTAGCTGGGCGTGGTGGCAGGCGCCTGTAATCCCAGCTACTCAGGAGGCTAAGGCCACGAGAATTGCTTGAACCTGGGAGGTGGAGGTTGCAGTGAGCCAAGTCACGCCGCTGCACTCCAGAGACTATCTCAAAACAAAAACAAAAACAAAAAAAACTAAACCCCTAACACCAGACAGCAGTGAGAGTGTGACTGATTTCACACAAAACCTCTGATCCTATTAGAGCCAGGCTAAAAGCAAACATACCCTTTTTAATTGAGAGAATCTTCATCTGTAAAGTTCATGAACAAAAAATATCTTTTTTTTTTTTTTTTTTTGAGACGGCGTCTCGCTTTGTTGCCCAAGCTGGAGTGCAGTGGCGCGATCCTGGCTCACTGCAAGCTCCGCCTCCTGGGTTCACGCCATTCTCCTGCCT